GTGTATCACATAGCAGAGCAGTAGTAAACACGTTGGTCGCTTGAAGCCAAAGGTACTGCGTTCGAATTTAGGTGTATGCTCTGGTACGATCAACGGTGAAAAGATCTATCCTTCCTCTCACATGACCACGCGTAAACAGCCACTGCCTTCTTGCGGCAGGGATGTTGTTCACTAAATTGAGAGGACGAAAAACCAACAACTGGTACTTTAACCGGGTTGGTGAACACAGATCCACGTAGGGGAGTTTGAAAACTCCGATTCCAAACTAATGGTGGAAATGCGCTCCAAGATCCTGAGAAAACAAATGGCGTATGAACCCACTGTTAGCCGCTGGCTACCGTGGTACTGCATCTCCTTAAGTTGCTCCAGTGGCTTGTGGATCAGATCTTGAGGTCGAAGGCTCTGGGTGTGGCCTCCTAAGAATACCACCCCCTTCGGTCTGGACACCCGTGCAGCATGACACCCACACACAAATCAAGTGATTTGTGTGGTGCATAAGTATTCGGTGCCCCTTTGTACTAATATTTGTGTTTAAATAAATAAGTAAAAATCGATATCGCCATGTAGATACACCCAAATGACGAGCCTTAATTGGGACGAAACGTGCGTTTTGGATCCAATACTACTTGCTATTTTAGACTGTCACATATAACTAAATAAAATATCTGTAAATTATCGCGTGAACGTTCATGTAAAAGTACGCTTACTTACTTACGCCTGTTACTCCTAATGGAGCATAGACCACCGACAAGCATTCTCCAACACACTCTGTCCTGGGCCTTCCTTTCTAGTTCCATCCAATTCTTCTTCATTTTTCTCATGTTTATCTCCATTTCTTGGCGTAATCTGCTTTTTGGTCTTCCTCTCCTCCTTCGGCCTTCAGGATTCCATGTGAGGCCTTGTCTTGTGACGCAGTTCGGTGCCTTCCTCAATGTGTGTCCTATCCACTTCCAGCGATTCTTTCTGATTTCTTTCTCCTCTGGGATCTGGTTTGTTCTATCCCACAGTAGGTTGTTGCTAATAGTGTCCGGCCAACGAATCCGAAGTATTTTGAGTAGACAACTGTTAATAAACACGTGTATCTTCTGGACGATGGCTTTCGTAGTTCCCCAAGTTTCCGCTCCATACAGCAGAACTGTCTTGACATTTGCATTGAAAATTCTGACTTTGGTGTTGGTTGCTAATTGTTTTGAGTTCCAGATGTTTTTCAGTTTTAAATATGCTGCTCTTGCATTGCAGATCCGCGCATTCACATCTGCATCAGATCCACCATGCTCATCAATGATGCTGCCCAAATATGTAAAGGTGTTTACATCTTCCAAAGCTTCTCCGTCAATTGTGATTGAATTGTTGCATACTGTGTTGTATCGGGGAATCTTGCTTTTCCCTTTGTGTATATTGAGACCTATTGCTGCTGAGGCTGCAGCTACACTGGTCGTCTTCTCCTGCATTTGTTGTTGCGTTTGCGATAGAAGAGCCAGATCATCTGCGAAGTCTAGATCATCCAACTGCATCCTAGACGTCCACTGTATGCCGTGCTTCCCTTCAGATGTTGACGTTTTCATGATCCAGTCTACCACCAGGAGAAAGAGAAAGGGTGAGAGTAAGCAACCTTGCCTGACACCGGTCTTTACTTCGAATGTGCATCTACCAGTTCACCTGCTCTTGTGGAGCAAGGTACATTGGCCGTAGCCAGCGCTTGCTTTCAACTCGGATACGGGAACATATTACAGCTTGGTTCTATAAGGGTGAAAGGAAAGCAGTTAGGAGTTTTATACTTGAACACCTAATCAACCGTAACCATTCTACAGATCCACAAATTGATTTTAAGTTTGTTTATATGATTCGTTCAAATCTACCCAGATTTCTTTGTATCCAACTTTTAAAAATAGCCGAAGCTCTTACCATTCAGGAGCCTAAACCAGAACTATGCGTACAAAAGAAGTACGTCTTATCGTTACCTTGGCCTTCATTATTTTGATTATCCTATTATTATTATTACTGCATTCCCCCCTTTACTTATGTCTTATATTCCCATTGTTTTTATTCGTAAATACTCATCATATTACCTTATTTATTTTACACCTCTATGACCTTTAATTATTATAACAAAAACATTTTAATTATCTTATTATATTCACTAAATCTATTGTTATTATTTGTATTACGTAATCTAATATTATAACCTTTTTATTACATCATGGTTAACTGTGTTCATATTTCCTCACGGAATTAGTACTTTTACAAAAACAAAATTTTCATATATATACGATTGCACAGCTTGATAATAAATTCGTTGAAGAGATCCTTTCGCTGAACTTCGTATTTTAATTTTAATGTTTAAATGGGAATTATATGTCAATTTGTTAACTGTCCTCCATGAACGATTTTGCAGTTTAATCCATCATAGGAATTCCGCATGATATTGACTATCTTCTGAGTACGCTTAGTAACCCGTTATTTGATATCTTTCCATGTAGTCTACTTTTTCAAATATTGTATTGAGAAAAGTGTTTTAAACTGATAGTGTGTTCCTTTAAATTTGACTTCATAAAAAATCCACGCATAATTATGCTTTCATGACTGATAAACAGGATCTATTGTGAATACGATCGTCTCTCTTAATTAGATAAAACTTTGCGCCGAATCATTTTCAGACATATATTCTCATTAAATATTCTACTCTCGAATCTATTTTCATAATTAATCAATAATAATTTAGTCATTGATCTGAAAGCAGTGGTGAATAGCCATTTTCTGGTTTAGTCTTCATATTTCTCAGTAGTATGAACTCGTATAAGATGAAAGTTACATATGTATTCCTAAATAACTTACATACTTTCTGTAATTATTTCTAGAATATAACTCATTTATTTATCATTAGAAACAGAACATAAAAAAACATATTTGATAGCTTGTTATTGCTTCACCTAGCTAAATTATAACATTCTATCTCCTTGTCAAGTTATAAGGTAAAATTATCAATTCGCCTGTATGATACCAGATCATACAAAACATCACTTGAGATTAATGTAATAATATGACGTTAGGTAAACAGGTTTAAATATGGAACCATTGATTGGTTGACTAATTCATTATATGCGTATAAAAAGATTAAATCTACCATTTACACTAAAAATATTCAACCAAAACTGTATGACTATTGAGTAGTTACGTCAGTTAACAAGTGAATGTTTCATAACAAATAATAAACGATATTAGTCTTCTAAATCAACTTTCTTAAGTTCACACAGTAACATTGATCTAATCAAGAAACTATTTACGTATAGTTTGTATTTATGTCAATTTATTTAGTATCATCTACATATTGCAAATAATCTATTTACATAAACTTGTTCTAATCATTTGCTTTAATAGATTATGCAATAGTTTAGTTGTCGTATATACTAAATCACTATATGTTATAACTTGTGGCCTGTGTGACCTGTTAATGTATAACGTAACGATACCGCCAATTAGAGAGCGGTGAACTGTCAATCAAACCCGTGCGAGCAGTCTAGAGTACTTATCGGTTCTACTTCCTGAATAGTCCAGCCAGTTAAGTTCAGAACACCAACCTCAGCCTTTGCAATATGAATCCTTTATTTCAAACATACTGGGTTTTTATACCAACCAGACAGATCACATCATACCAATGGTATAGGAAACAACATTTATAGAGGATTTGGCCAAATGTGGCTGTGAATGTGAGAGGTAGTAATTAATAGACAGAGCATAATTAAAGAACGGTAAATCGTATAATAATAGTTCATAGGTCAAAATAAAACTCGTAATAAGAGAGATATGAATATCTACAGTTTAGTTATTTAACAATTATACGATAAAAATATACGCACAGTATCAATCCATAAATGGATCCCAAATTTACCATTCATTATGCTTATCAGGACATAATACTATACTACTAACTTTATCTATAAAATATTTGTACTATTGAACAAAATAAAAATAGAATAATTGATTCATTTTAATCAGGTTTAATGTATTATACTTGTATAATTTTAATATTATAAACTAAATGGAACTAATTCATTTACTAATTATTTTTAGTATATTGACCTGGATTAATAATAAATAGTGAAAATATCTTAACCAGTTCACTTGAATCATAGAATACAACATCAATAAAAGATAAATCAACTGAAATGTAATGTTTTCTTAACTAATAAAAGTTCATTTTGATTAAACTTAATTCTTATAAATATATAGATAAAGATAATTTCGAATAAATTGTCCATTGAAGAAGTGGCTTGCACTAAGTCACGAAACGTCAGAAAATCTAGTTTTCCTATTCATTAAGATATTACAAATATATTAATTAATTTATTTATATAGATAAGGAATTCTAAATGAACAAAAATAATTTCATTTCATAATAAAGAATGATTTTGAAATTATACAGAATTTTGTACAAAATGTACACTACATGGGATAATTGTCAAATTATTAAACAAATGTATGAAATTGTTAACTATGCTTTGTTAGAGACCTAAATCATTCAAGTAATGAATATAACGCTTTTATTTAAATATGAACAGTTTTATAGATGGCACCTCTATTTTGTAATTATATAAACATAACGATTTATGAGAAAGAGAATATCGCAAAAATAATAAAGTATATGAAATGAAAATTTTACATAAAGCTTAATATATTTGATTCAGATCAAATTCGAAATAAACTTCATTTATTTTATGTAAAGTATCAAATGGTCGAGACTCTTGTGATGTACAAATACATAAGAAAAATCATGATTAACTGTTACGTAATAATTAGATTGTGAACTCATAACGTCGTTTCATCTACTTTGTAATGAAAAAAATTTACAGAATTATTTATAATCTAATAACAGATTCAAACATACCAATTTTTTGTTGAATAAATAAGAACGTACAACGTTGAATAACTCATATACCATGGACAAGTACAAGAAAATTTAAGCTATATCACTATTTTTGCGACAAGTTTTTTTTTTTTTTGATTTCAATAGTCCATATACTCACTGGCTAATGTAACACTCAAGGTTTTGCATTTAGGTAAGTTTGTTTCTTTAAAGAAGCAAACTTAAATTATCAATAATAATTTTGTATACATTATAATGTCTACAATACCATAGTGGTTAGATTCTTTTCCATTAGTAAAGTAATAATATAAAATATATAAATCATGTATAACGTTTGTTGAAGATGAATACAGCAAGAAAATAATACGAAGCCAGTTAACATATACTATGGATTACCCGTTAAAAAGAAATAAAACATTTATAGAATCGATTAGTCACTTTTCTACAGAAATAAACAAATAAAAAGGAAGAATATGATGTGGGAAGAAACAAAAAATTAATAAATAGTGTATAACAGACATTTATCGTTAAATTTACATATAAATAAGAAATAGGAAATTTCATAGTCACAGCCATACCGTTCAATGATCAAAGCATTGTTGTTTTAAATAAGTATTTATATTATATGTGTATACTTATTGAACGGAGGAACCAATTAACCATACAAAAATAAACATGTGTGTACACTATTTATAAACTGTGCAAAATTTAAAAATATGGATTTACAATTGAGAGAGAAGTATTTATTTCAAAATAAAAGGGTATTCATTAATTTCGTTTCATTTATGCTGTTAAGATAGACTTTGCATCAGATTTTACTAAATGACAAGACTTCAATTTGTTTAGAATGGCAGCATTCCATGATGAACGATTTTTATTATACAAATTTAAATAAAGTCCAAATACAATCAATAGACCAGACCATATGTATCTAATTGGTATAAATATTAAAAAGAATAATAAAAATATTATTAATGGGGGAAAAAAATTCAAAGAACTGTTTAAATACAAAGAGAATTGTGGAGATTATAGAATTCTCATAGTTTTTGAATCATGAACTGACCGTAGCTAGACCACAATTGAAAACTTGGAAGTAGTCAATAGGTGTACAGTCTAAGTGCGGGAATCCTCAGCAATAAGTATCCATGACCCTTCGCCCCGGAGTCGAACTTTGGACATCCAGTCTCGTACACGAACGCTTAACCGTTGGATCACCAAGCTGCTATCCAGTGGTGTACATATGTAACCCCAATCAATTCATAATACTGAACAACGCATATCCGTTGCCTGTGGTGGATAACTATCTTCCTCTCGAAATGGTTGAACCCCACTAGTTACTAGGATCTCCAGGAGTTTCGTCTTGAAGCTGGCAATAGATGAAGTTTGAGCAGTATCTTTAATTAATGGAAGTTAGGTCAACATAACTAATTAATCCTTCCAAGTTTTCAGAAGTGGTTTAGCTAAGATCAGTTCGTGATTTAAACTACGAAAATTCCATTAATAATTATATTTGGATAAACATATCAACCTATTCGAAAAAAATGAAATTTAAAATAATATAAATAATTAATAAGTGATTTTATGTGTGAAACAGGAACTTCATAAATAAAAAATTGAGCTTTCAAACAACAGGGTTCAAAATTTCTGTATGAACAGTAAGATCATATCAACAATTCACACACAAACATCAAGAGTGGTATAAAAGCTGTTAGCGATCACTGTCAATAAGTAGAACATATAATGCCACATTTAAAATGTAGACTAATTCCGCAAGACTGATATGAAGGCTTTTATACATCCATTATTTCTAAAACGCCATTGAAAGTAGTCCACACATTCGTGAATTTGAATAGTTACACATGTATCGGTTGTGATTAATTTACGTACAATGAAAAGCGAAATGATTCAAGACTAAATGGTCTACCGTTGAAGCTATTGTGATGTTAATATAGCCATAAAAAGTTTCCTATACAACATTTTGATGGAAATAGTTTTATTTTATACTTGTGAAATATATAACTTCTAGCTGCAGATGCTCGAAGAATCTCTCAATGGAAGTTATTTACAAAGGATTGTTTTTCCGTGACAACATTGTAAATTATTCCAAAATCCAGCACAACATAATGATACATATTTATCAAAAGGTATACTTGTTTTCTATTCAGCTCAAATGATTTTTCATAAATAAGAAACAGAAATGATTTTTAAGTAAAACAAGCAAAGTAACTGACTAGGTTTTTTCTTTAGAAAAAAACAAACAAAACACTTTTCTGTAAAACAATTCTCTTAATTAGTAGTTTCAAAACGTAATAAAAACATTAAATAAGGACTCAATGTAAGTAACTTGAAATACTTTATTAAATCGATCACAATCGGTCAAGACACACTAGTTGGTACTTAAACAGACAAAATAATTTTAGCAATCGAAAATATTGTGCTGACACGAAACCCATATCTAGATCTTCCTGTTGATCGATTGAGAAGTTACTGATGCAGTGTATATAACATCTTTATAGATGACCAATGGGGAGAAATCGAAACCGATCAATAAATAAATTTTATCTGAAATAACTCAAGTCTATCTGTGATGTAAATCTGATAATCGAATTTGCCAAAACTTACACTAAGGTTACAAACCCTCTCTCATGGTTTCTACGCGAATATTATATGAACAAGTATGAAGCCAAGTTTCTACTGTACTGAACGAGAATACAGATGTGGACAACCAAATGTGGTTCAATACAACACTACTGAATACTTTGGTAAAATCTGAGAACCATACAGTAATACTTCACTTGAAAAATATACATCAAATGTCTCAGACATTGTTATTCCTTCAATTCCATACCAAACACTCTCTGTTCTTGTCCTTTTCTCTTTAATTTTCTCAACCTTCTACCACCAGGCATTCCACATCCGACTGATGATACACATTAATGTTATATATAGAGGAATGTTTTTCTTGATATCAGTCAGTCAGTAACAACGTGGAACTTCGTACGTACGTACATCAGTTCGAGTTGCCATACCACATTAGCACAGAGATTCAGTTATCGATTCAAATCCCATAGTGGTAGAGGTACTGAAAGTATAAGTAGAGATAGGGGACATTAAGGTTTGATGATGTTATTAAAGGAGTATAGTCCAGTGGAATAAATTGGGAAAGAAAATAAAGGACATGAAGAATTCAGAAGATTAGAGTTTGAGAGAACACAAAGAGTGGATGCACATGCGCCATTGCAAACGATTTTGAGCCATGTCATTCAAGGTCTCTAACCATCGGTTGCTATCGTCTCGCGGTCCCCAACCAGGTAGTCTACACCTACCAACATGACTCAGTCCACTTGTCAGTGATCTCATGGATTTGTGCCATGTTTTGATCTGGCCGCCCCTAACTTTCTTCCAACCTACTCCTACACCATAAAACATAGCACGTCGGGTGTGGTACTACTTATGTAGACATAAGTACTATATGATGTTTGTCGTGAACAGAATGTCTGGCAGCAGGGAGACAAGAAGACCGAACAGTAAAGAATGAAGACAGAATGCAATTTGTGTGAAAATGCAAGAACAAAGGAAGTCTGAGTCTTTTGAGACAATTGCTGGACATTTTGCAAATTGAGCATTTAGTATATGGTTGTTAGATTTTACTAACTAGTTCTGTAATTTGTTGTCAAATACATTTGACTGTCCCCATTGTTGTTCTTGTTCACTACACCGCGTATAACTGAGCACTAGCACGCCAAAACCCTTTCAAGCAGCAAGCAGAAGACAGAAGACTAATGAAAGGAATATTATTCCGAACAATTTCAATTATAGTACAAAATTGTCAGGTATTTATAGTTTTTAGTAAGAACGAAATCATCATTACAATCCTCCGATCCGCATACACGGGGTTATAAGCATTTGTCCAAACGGGAAGCTACATGTAGAAATTCTAGAATATTCTTCCAAAAGGTGACTGGATGGAAATCTCCGGCTTTTTCTGAGCCTCTTACAGCTTCCTCGAGTTCGCAGGGGTTCGTCGTCACAATTACTTATATCTGTCGACATCAGTCGCACACGCCACACTACTGCCAACTTTTTAGTGATATGCCCCCAAAACAAATCAGATCCAAACTTCGATTTAACGCATGAACGGAAAATTAATAGACAAAAATTTATACATAATCCATCTTTTTCAAGTAACACATGCATCAATCAAATGCTTTTACAGAATATCACAGTGAAGTCCAGATATTAAATGACTTAGTTTCATCTAGTTAATAATATTAAAAGTTTACAAGTATAATACATTAAACCTGATTAAAATGAGTCAATTATTCTATTTTTATTTTGTTCAATAATACAAATACTTTGTGGATAACATATAGATATAGTCAGTAGTATATACAATAACTAAACTATTGCATAATCTATTAAAACAAAAGATTAGAACAAGATTATGTAAATAGATTGTTTGCAATATATAGATGATACTAAATAAATTGACACAAATACAAATGTATTTAAAAAAAAGAATTATTTATTTGTTTTGTGAGATGATTGGTTAAGAAGTGATATTCATTTTCAAGAGATGAGTTCTACACCTTTGGTGGCTTAATTTTCTAACGGATATATATTCATGTGCATTTATTGCTTGGCCGATTTCTGGTTGATCGAGAGTATCACCTTTCCCTCCTGAAAAGTCGATGTGATTTCTCAGATTCAGTAGAAGGCGTTGGGATGGTGGCACAATACCTTCTTTGATATATTTGTTAAATTGTTAGTTTGTGCATAAACTTTCGTGTTTCATTTCCAACAAATATTTCTCTTGATAGTTTGATTCATGAACTGATGTTTATGAAGATGTTGCTTTATTGTGTATATGCAAATCGGGCTGTATTGCCTAGATCATATTTCTCGTGATATTCTCCCAACGTTGTATGTTTTTATTTTGAATGTACCACTTTTATTAACGGTTCGAGGTCACGTCATATTACCACTCATCTCTTAAAACCACGCTGCCAAATACGTTACGGTTCTTTAGGTGTTATAACCATGTGCTAAATCGGGCAACAAGCTTTACTGTCTAAGATTCTAAACTCTCATGCGTCTGGAATATGTCTCGGAAAGTCACATTTCAGACCCAGCTATGCTCATTCATTTGATGTCAGCTAGTCCAATATCAAGATTCTGTGAGACCCATTATTGAAACTTAACTACCACTTCTTGTAGTCTTGCAGGCATATATATAGCTCCGAGCTCAAGGCCGAAACAAGGAATTCCGAGTTCGGTTCCACTGGATAGTTGCTTCAATAAATTCTGATGAAAGGTACAGTAACATACATGAAGGGAAGGAAAGGATGCTATTCATTCTTTGCCCCCAAATGCCCTGGTACGGCCGAGAGTGGGGAGAGTCAACTCTCCCTCTCAAAATGCTTTCACATGACCACACGTATACAACCACTTTCAGGGAAGTCCTACTCACTGTCTTCGAGCGGCAGGGTTGTTGTTCACCGAAGTGAGAGGACGAAAACCGAATGTCCGGCACTTTTAGTGGGTTGGTGAACACGGAGAGTCCACCTAGAGAATGTTAGGAAACCCTGATTCCAAACCAATGATGTACATGGGCTTCAGGATCCTAAGGAAGCAAATGGCGTATGAACCCATTGTTGGTCACTGGTTACTATGGGAATTCATCTTGTGATGTTGCTCCACTGCTTTGTGGTTTAGACCTCTAGGTCAAAGGCTTCGGGTATGGCTCCCTAAGAAAAGTACCTGCTTCGGTCTGAACACCCGGGCAGTATCACAGCCCTCACACAAATCAATGATAACTGCTACTGGCCTCGTTATTATTGTGTGGTGCATATGTAATTGGTGCCTCCTTGTATAAATGTTTATGTTTTCGAATAGAAAAACAAAATAAATTTTAAATACATTGGTTGGAATAGTGTCTTCGTAATTTAAATCACAAAATTAATAAACTCACCCTTGAGAAAAAGGCTTTTCAAACATAATAAATGATACGGCGATTGAAACAGCTTTCCTAAATGTTGTGACTTAAAAAAATAACAAACAGAAATCGGTAAAGTTATCAAAAATGGCCAAATATGAAGTACCTAAAAATATAATAACACTTTTAACATCCAGAGGAAATACATAGAAAAGGTGGAGAGAGAGGGAGACAGGAGGATACCCTTACGCAAATTGAATTAGTAAGTGCTTTCATGAATTTAAAGGGAATTTTTCACCGCAAACCGACATCATCTGAAGAACCAATAAAAAACAAAGAACACTGAAATGCTATTTTACTTTTGTTTAAGTAACTGTTTATTTTTGTCTATTTACAACTACCACGTATGAGATCGGAATCAGAACAGTCAGAGCTTATTAGATGTATCTGAAATTTTAGGGATAACACACAAATGTAATAAACGTCAATTCCCTAATGAACGATTATGAAGTGATGGTTAGTCGGAACAATATTAAGAAATTCGAACATCAATCGAATAGTTTGTTTCAGGTCTGTATTACAAACTATTTATTTTCAGTGAAATTTTCATTTAATACTAACTTTGCAAAAAATTGATACCTCATCATTATCGTGAAGGTGAAGACCACTAATCATAATTTATGCTATATTATTGTTTCACAAAGAAAATACTGGTTTTCGAAAGCTGTTTTCTATAGATCAGTCCAAAACGTTAATTATGTTGTAACTGCCAATTTCTTGATGAACTCATGCTCTTGTTTGCAAGACTGGTGACTATTATAGTATTTGAACCGATAAAAATGCTACGACGTACAATAATCCATATAGCGTGCACCATACACTTCACACTATTAAAATCTTTGTGACAGATGTTCTGTCAAAACATTTTATGAATCACGTCTTCTAAATAATGTACCATGTTGTCAGAAGAAGTGGTTTACACTGTGTCACGAAACGTCAGAAAATTTATTTTTTCTTCTCATTGGGATATTACAAATATATTAATTTATTTCTAACTATCTACCCAATGCTCAGTTTATTCGAAATTATCAAGTCAAACCTTGGTAATGACACCCACAAATGTACCATAATACTTTTACATATTACATTCCTTTTGTGTTACTTAATCGTGGCTGTAAAGTGATTTGTATTTTAATTATTTCTGGAATATTTATTTACTTATTTATTTAAATAACTGTTATGTCAATTTATACAAATACGTGACTCAGTAATACCATTCAAATCCCACTGAGATAATTTTAAACTGATACTGATTAGACATAACAGAAAGTCTACTTGAATAGTGAACTTACGAAACGAAAGGTTAATCAATGTATAAGACGTTGATATTTTTTAAAAAACCACATCAGTGGTCAGATAATCTTATGAAAGCCTTCATCTTCGTAAAAACGATGGATTCTGTGATTGGAACTATCAATTTTCAACGATTCGGGTCTAAATCCCGTTGTGTCTACTTTAATTATGGTTAAGGAAATTATTTGTTCATACGTCAAAAATTTAGTTTGAAACTAAGTAATTGAACATGTACTTGACTAGTGAGTAACATTCATAAAATATTCTTTTTGTAAAGAGCTCAGCTAACACATGTTTGCTAACACACAGTCAGCCAGAATCAGTGTAGAACCTAGCGTACATGTACGCCAGTTCAATTTGTTATATAATATCAACACAGTAATATAATAATACTATTACAGATTCCAGAGCAATAAAAGTACTGACAGCATGAGTGACAGTACAAGGCTTTAGAGATAAAAAATATAATTCGAGAAAGAAATGAATTAACGAAATAAAAAGTACAAAATAACTTTAAAACTCAAGTTCTAAGAAAAGACAAAGCGTGGATGAATCAATGCCAGTGTGACCGATTCCGATCAATTTCGCTCAATTTCTTCAGTTAATGGTTAAGATAATAGCATGGACCCCGACCACTTAATTGGAACATATCAATATGGCTCAAACCGACAATCAATGACTTCATGGACTCATGTCACGTATCGGATTTGTCACTCCCAGTTTTTTTCCAAACTAATCCAACAGTGCCAAACATCGGCCGTCAAGGTAGACAGAGGTTGGATAAACGTACTGTCTATCTCTATTCACTCAGTCTATGAAGATTTACTGCTCTATCAACTGGTTTACCATCCTCACTTAGTATACTATGTCTTTCCTCAACATGGCTTACTCAGTAGTGTTAACAAGCACATGTAGTGATTCGAAGACATCTACAACTAAACAGCAGTAACCTACGGATATTCTTCATTTTTAAGGACTTTTTACACATATAAGGTAGAACGGAACAAACTACTGTGTAGTATGTTCGTTCTTTAGTTGACAGATGAGCATATTGTCTACGTTACACCTGATACAAGTATGTGAAAGCTAGCAGAGCTTTTTAAAGTCGTGCAAAAAACCAGACAGACATAAACCCAGAAAACCTGGTGATACTTTCAAGATAAAGGAAGTGATGGACAACTTAATAAATATCTACTTATTATTCCGAAAATTAATTGAAGCACACACCATTGAAGTTATGTACAAAGTGAAACTTGATACAATGAAATAGCATGAATGCCACTGGTTGAAGTAGATGAGTCGTCACAGGCGATAATTGAAAATTATTATTTATGATTTATTTATTTATTTGAACACATAAATATTGGTACAGGGGGGCACCAAATATATATGCGCCACACAAAACAATAACAATTTGAAGAGAAGGAGAAAAGAGAAAAAAAAAAGTAATGGACGTGGGGAATTATAAAAAAAAAAGGAAGAGAGAGAGAAAAATGGTGGGGGAAACGGAAAGGTACAATCAGAAGAGATCTTTCAGTTAAGGAAGATACAACCACTTTTTATGAAGAAAGTAAAAGAAGGTTACAGCAGGATCGCCATTGGCTTCTATTCTGAGCCATATCTGATAACGTCTCTAGCCACTGCGTTACACCGTCTCTCGGACCCCAACCAGGGAGTCGTGAAGGACCAACAGAAGCTAGCCCTTTGCAGCTTTCTTTCATACCACGACACCATGTCATATGCTGACCACCTCTCCGCTTTTTCCAACCATCCCACAGTCGGCAAATAATGCACGACGTGGAATTCTCTGGGACGACATTCGTAAAACATGTCCAAGCCACCGAAGTCGGTGTTTCAAGATGGTGACACCAATTGCATTATCGTCTCTGTGCTCGAACACACGATGCCGAACCTCTGCATTACTGACATGGTGTTGCCACTGGATGCCAGCAATCCGTCGGAGACAACGATGATCGAACACAGAGAGTCGTCTAACATCCTCAACTCGGAGAGGCCAGGTTTCACAAGCATAGAGCAAAACTGCTCTCACCGTCCCGTTGTAGATCCGACCTTTTACAGCCAGACTAACATCACGAAGGCGCCAAAGATGGCCCAGATTGGCATAAGCCGCTCTGGCTTTCACTATACGTGCATTGATCTCATCACTCACACCACCACCAGCACTTATGCAGCTACCTAGATACACGAACTTCTCGACTACTTCAATCTGCTCACCATCCAGAGTGAGTACAGGATTAGAATCCTGCCAGTCTTGTAGAAGAACTTTGCACTTCGAAGGTGCAAAGCACATACCATACCTACGGACACTGATTGCCAACTGATTAAGTGCGGATTGCATGGCTTGGGCATTCTCGCACAGTAAGACAATATCATCCGCATACTCAAGGTCGAGAAGTCTTTCTCCAGGCAACAGATCCACACCACCATTACTTACATCCGTCAGAGCTGTTTCCAGAATGTCATCGATGGCAAAGTTGAAGAGGAATGGTGAGATTGGGCAACCCTGCCTAACCCCACTGCTCGAATGGAATAGTGGAGAAAGGTGATTGTATGCCCTCACTCTGCCTGAGGTGTTTGTGTATAGGGCTTTTAGGATGTTAATAAACTTCTCAGGCACACCCTTCTTCAATAGACAATCCCAGAGAACAGTTCTGTCCAACGAATCGAAGGCAGCCCTGATATCAAGAAACACTACGATTGTTGGCCTTTGATAAGTATGGCGGTGTTCTAACACTTGGCGGAGGGTGAAGATATGATCAATACATCCTCGACCAGGACGAAACCCAGCCTGCTCCTCGCGAGTCAATCCTTCTCGGGTTCTGAACAACCTACGAAGTATGACGGAAGCCAATAACTTGGACGCAATCGGAAGTAGACTTATCCCCCGATAGTTGTTACAGGAACAACGTGAACCATTTTTAAAGATAGGGACAACTATCGACTCATTCCATGACGTTGGTACACTTTCTAGTTCCCAGACCTTTGTAAACAACGTCGTCAGTCCCTTAGTCAGAAAGTCACCACCATCTTTAAAAAGCCGGAGGTAAGTCATCTGGGCCCGGTGATTTGTAGCGTTTCAAGAGTTGGAGTTCCTTGCGGACTTCCGCCTCATTTGGTGGATCAGTCGTCACCGGCCATGGAGGGCAGGACAGTCTGACCGATGTTGCCGGAGCAGCAGGCCAGTTGAAGTGCCCTTCAAAGAATTCTGCCCATCGTCCAAGACGTCGATGGATGTTAGTGAATTTCGTTCAGTCGTCCTCGCAGATTGTTTCGCTCACACCAGACTTCTTATTGCCAGTGGCTCGGATGAGTTGGAAGAGCTTCCGGTAATTACCAGATGCAGCTGCTGCTTCCAACTCACTGGCACGCTCCGACCACCAGGCTTCTCGGTCCTTACGCAAGCTTTGCCCGATTTCATTACGTAACATCCTTCGTCTGTGGTCGAACTCACGGTCACCCGGAGTAGATCGACGGGCTTCAATGAGTTGTAACGAACCAGAAGAAACCCAGTGCTTGTAAGCGGGACGTTTCGCAAACCCACAACAGACTGTACCCGCCATTTTCATGGCGTCATGCAATTGCAACCAATGCTAATCTATACTTTTCGGTGGAGTGGTAGCTAGCCTGGAAGCTAGCTCGGTTCGATATTTACTAGCAACAGAAGTTGCAGCCAGCTTGCTAACATCAATCCTTTGGTGACGGTCACTTCGTTGTCCACTGAAAAGTAAGGTA